TGGCAACACTAAGGAGCATAACAGTCATGGAAAAGAGTCTGGACATAATGCACCAGGCTGTGGTGGAGGGTGGTCTGGATGAGGAGGGGGGGTTGGAGGAGCAGGATCCCGAGGTGGGGAGCTGGGGTGCTGTTAGAAGGCGGGGGAGAGGGAAGAGTGCTAGAGATGTCAGCCCTGATCTGGTTCACCCCAATAAGTATGCCAAGTTGCATGATGTTGGGGATACCAGTTCAGGGGGGACTCTGCTGGAGCAGGACGCAACCTCTATCCGCAGGGGGAGTGACTGCTCCGGCGAGGAGGGGAGCCGGATGGAGGGTCAGGAGAGGCAGATACTGGTGGTGGGAGACTCCATCATCAGGCGGACTGACAGGGTAATCTGTCATCGGAACCATGAGCGTCGAACAGTGTGCTGACTGCCAGGGGCACGTGTTCGGCACATTGCGGAACGAATTGACAGATTACTAGATGGGGTTGGGCATGACCCAGTTGTCATGGTGCACATCGGCACCAATGACAAAATAGGAGGAAATTGGAGTGTGCTAAAAAGAGAGTTCAGAGACCTAGGTGCTAGGATGAAGGAAAGGACCTCCACGGTAGTATTCTCAGAGATACTGCCGGTGCCAAGAGCCACTCCGGACAGACAGCGCGAGTTGAGTCAGAAGGAAATTTTGGTTTCCTGGAGAACTGGGCTGACTTCGCAGTCGGCTACCGGCTCTACCGCCGAGACGGCTGCATCTTAATGGGTAAGAGCTATGAGACACGGTTACTAAATTTAAATATGTTCACGCTGGAATTAAGGAGATTAAGGGGGGACATGATTTTCATGTACAAAATGTTCTATAGTCATAGCGACATTAGCAACAAACTCTTTACGATTAATTTCCGTAACAAAGACTGGAGGCCACCACCTGAAACTGGTAGAAAAAAAATTCAAACACAAGGGGCGAAGGGGGTTCTTCTCAGTTCGAGCGGTTAGGGTCTAGAACTCGTTGCCACAAGCAGTGATTTCAGCTAATAGCGTGGAATCGTTCAAGAAGCTTTTGGACGATTTCCTGAGAAACGGTAATATACAGGGGCACAAGTACTCCTAATAACGAGATGACTCAGGGATCTATACACACACAGACACACACGCACACACAATAGGTTGGACTTGATGGACATGTGTCTTTATTCAACCTCAAATACTATGTAACTATGTAACTATGCATACATTGTGCACGACATGCACCTGGTTGCATGCCCACTCATGGAAGACATTATTTTATTTCACCCTTCTTATTTATCTATTTACTTTTATATTATTTTTATGTAAATTGAGACAAATTATTTGTGTATTTATATATCTAAGGTTTAGTGGTTTACAAGTGGCGCGTTCAATAACTTATTTGTTAAACTAAATTTAATTTATACCACTGCCCTGGGATAAGTTATACTATCTCCCAGTGTTTAGCTTACAAACTGCCCTGCGGTTAAATTATATTAAATGAAATGTAATTAAATTGCACTAGCGCCTAGGGGTTGGATTTATTTTATTTTTATTTTATTTATTTATTTTTATTTTATTTTTTTGCACTGTGATGGTACTGTAATACTTTATAAATACTAACGGTTTAATATAACACTAACAGTTCAGTATATGCAATATACAAAAGTAGCCGCCCCCCCTTGTTTTCTATTTTGTATTATATGTTAATCACTCTTACTATATGTTAATCACTCTCACTCCCCTCTATGTAACACTATTAAATTACCTTCTAACGCTCTTACCGCCCCCCCCTTATAACAATACCAATCCTATAAACACCCTATCTCCCCAATTTCTTCATACGACCTGCTCCTGATGCCAGTCACGTCTTGTTCCTTCCTTCAGCCTCAGCCTCCGTCCTCTCTGGCCGACCTGTCCCTGCCACCGATCCTCCGTCTGGCTTCCCGACCTCTGGTCCCCGCAGTTTGTTCACTTCGTTCAGCTCCCACACGTCCATCCACCTCTCCTCTGGTGCTGCCGTCCACCCCCGATGCCGTCCTCTGGTCACCACTGATGTCTTCCACTGGTCACCACTGATGTCGTCCTCTGGTCACCCCGACTGCTATGCTCTTTCCGAATGAAAGAATAAAGTAATCCTAAATCCCTTACCAGAACCTTGATCTGAGCAGCAGAAAGGGGGAGGCCACCATACCAGGCCACATCCCCTCAACATAGGAAGGGTGCTTTCATAAAGGGGGCATCCAAATGCCATGCCCCCACTCGTGAATGAGTAAGGGGTAGTTGTTACCCCTATGTATTCACCAAATAAAGTAAAATAGGACATTTAGAAACAAAACTGTAAAAACAAAATTCTTTGAAAAAACTGTTTTTGACAAATCCTTTGTTAACCCTCCCCCCCCCCAAAAAAAAAAAATGTCCATCGATGTAATCCACAATCACTTGTAGCTCCATGCCAGTCACAATGAATAACAATGACTTGCCAAAAGAAAAAATCCCGGCCGCCACGGCAGATCCCGACGGACACCACCCGCAAAATGACAGCTCTGCTCCCGAATGTCAACAAAGGTGCGGAGTGAGATGTGATGTTACAGGACTTTTTCCGCCCATTTGTTTACATTCCATTAGGGGACCGAGAGCTGTCACGGCATGTAAACAAATGGGCGGAACAAGTCCTGTGGCATCATGACTTGCTCGACCACTTTGTTGATATTTGCGAGGAGAGCTGTCATTTTGCAGCCGGTATTTGTCAAGTTCGGTTGTGGCAGCAGGGATTTTTTCTTTTAGTGAGTTGTTCGGCATGTTAAGGGCATGTGGCCTGGTATGGTGCTGTTCTGCCAGGCTGCTGTTCGGATCAAGGGTCTGGTAAGAGATTTTAATTGCGTTAGGAAAGAAATTTTGCACGTTGTTTTTGATGTGTGTTTGTTGTTGTTGTTTTGTTGTAATTAGCTGGACCGCAGGACACAGGCTTTATCAGACAAATTGCATTTATTTTCCACAGCAGCAACATAAACAGTAATTTATTTCTTCTGTACAGCACAACAACTTAAAAGATTGCTTTCTTCAGCATAGAAATGATAAACTGTACCGTTTGCTTTCTTCAGCACAGAAAAGAATAACAATGGCCTCACCGGCTTGGATGGTTTCAGTCCACAAGGTGATCACACTGTAAAGGTGCCCATACACTGCATGATTATCGTATTGTGCAGTTTATGGAAGGCGTGCAACAGTTTCTACTGTAGGTCACACAACTTATGTATTTTGAGCATGTTCGAAAACCAGCCGAGAATCGTACGATTGTCGGCTGGTTTGAATCATGATTGTGAGATAACTGCCGCACGGGCAGCATTGCGGTCATCGCAAGTACGCTCTGCCTGTCCAAGATGGTCAGATTGTACGTTTTTTTAATTACTTTACAACCCTCACAAGACAAAAGTCTTGCAAGGGTTGTAAAGTGTATGGCCACCTTTAACCTTAGAGTTTCTCTCAGCCCACAGGCTCCCAGTAAAGTTCAGCTGTTTCACAGCACCAGTACCTTAAGGTGGCCATACACTGTACAACCATCCCAAGACCTTAGTCTTGGGATGGTTGTAAAGTGATTAAAAAAACGTACGATCTGCCCATCTTGGACAGGCAGATCGCACTCTCGATCATCGCAAGCCTGCCCCCCTGAGGGGCGGGCTTCCGATGACCGCAAACTGAACAGGCAGTGTGCGCGTGCGCACACCGGCCCGTTCGGCATTTGTCTCCCGAGCACCGTTCAAACCAGCCGAAAATCGTACGATTCTCGGCTGGTTTTCTAACATGCTCCTTAGACAAAAGACGTGCGACCGTACAGTAGAAACGGTCGCACATCTTCGTTCACACTGTTCGATTCTCGTACGATCGCGGGATTTCCCACGATTCTCGTACGAGAATCGAGCAGTGTATGGGCTCCTTTAGTCTGCTCCACAGCCTTGTCTGCACATATTAATCAGTGCTTCTCTCTTCCTCTCTCTCTAGCTTCCTATCATTTTGAACATACTTCCTGCAGCAGGTGTTAACCCATTTCCGTCCCTTAAAGGGACCACAATCCGAACATAGGGAAATATACACCTCTCCCAGGACCCATCTTCTGGAGTCCTGTACAATATATATACACTGAGTGGCCAGATTATTATGACCACCTGACGTTTGTAGGTAAACTAGCTATAATTGAACGTGGGATGATTGTTGGCGCTCAAGCCATGGAGCGAGTATTAGCAAAACAGCAGAATTCGTTAAATGTTCAAGAGCAGCTGTTGTTAAGGTGTTTAAAGACTGGACTGTCAGCTGAAAATCTGGGTCTTGAACATGCGAATTGTGGCCGTCAGCGACTAGTCAATGTTAGGGCAGAACGGAGAGTGGCAAGACTGGTACAAGACAACAGAAGGGCAACAGTGCAGTGTCAGATTAAATTTCGGCCGCCAAAACATGTCGGCCGAAAATGGCACTTTGGGCAAAATGCAGAAAGTGCCATCTTTCGGCCGAAATTGCGGTGCATCCCTAGTTTCTCTTCTCCCCAATGTGCGCTGCTCTGTGTCCCCTCTGACATAGGTGTACGTTTAATAAACTGTGAAAGAGTGTGATAAGCTCTTGTAGGCTTTTCTCACCTTAGCAAAGTGAAAAGTCTAGAAAATGATGTTTAATAACCCGTGATAAGTCAGGTAGGAACTGAAATATCTCACCTCTTCTCATCCTGGTGATAAGTTGTCAGGGACCCAGGGGTGCCGTTCCTTGTCAGGTTCGCAGGCGCGGTAAAGAATATTTATGAATTAAATAATTAACCACCTGCTGTCAGGCTGTTGTAATTAAGGGCCCATTCACACTAAGCGATTTGCAAATTGCGCGTTTGTCTGGCAATTTGCATTTTGCAGGATATCGCGCGTTTGTCGCACGATATCGCGCAAATGCTTGCATTGAGCAAGCTGGAATAGCGGCAAAATCCGCTCTAAAAAGGGTCCTGCTGTAGCGACGCACGACCCGCGACAGCAGGACCCTTTGCTCCATTTTCATGCATTGGAGAGCGATATCGCGCGGTAAATAGCCGCGATATCGTGGGAATTAGCGCGCGATAAATCGCCCAGCGTGAACGGGGCCTAAACGGCCGGACAGCGGACGGAATGCGGGTGGGCATTTTTAAATGTCCTAACCCACTCCGCTCGTGCCCGCCGCTAGGCCACGCGCACGAACGGGAAATTGGCTTTGAATGTAAACATCCAGCGATGGCTGTTTACATACAAGCGTTCAGACGTCTGTGGAGACATCCGATCACTTGTAATATGCGTGCGTTTGTGCAGCCCCCCCTCCGTTGCCGCTGGCGATCCCGAGCTCCGCTGTGCCTGGACAAACTACAGTGTAGACAAGCTGCGGTGCAGTGCGAAGTGGAAGGTTGGGTTTTTTTCCCCTTTGCTTCGCTTCGCCTGCAGTGTGTCACAGCCTTGAGAGGGAAAAGGAGGGAAGTCTGTCTTAATGCCACCCTTCCCTCATGAGAGTGACAGTGGCAGTTTCGCGGCCGCGGGCAGTGCCCGATGGACCGAATGGTCAGTCCGCCCCTGGGCTGAGCTACATTTAAGTTGCTCTACTTACTGATAGGATAACAGTAACTAATTTACAGTACAGGGAAAGAGCTGTACATTGGCAGTCTATTTACTTTCAAATTTTCCAAACTTTTTGATCTTCATGGAGGTCCAAAACTGGTTCCCAATCTGCCCTGAATGGTTTGTTTATTCTTAACTAGAAATAAATGCTTTGTAATGAAACACAATTTACAACCAACAAATATTTCACATTTTTTTTCTTAAGGTCATTATACTGAAAGATTTGAAACATGATGGAAATTTCACAGAAAATCAGAAAATGGAGCTTAATAAAGTAAGATCTGTTTGTTATGTGTGCCTGCAAAGATTGATCTGTGGTTTTACAGAGCAAATGTACAGGTTATTTAAAAGCTCACAGAAGTGCAGTCATATAGAGTATAGAGTTGATTTATCAAAACTGGTCAAAAAGAACATAGAATATTTTCTTGTAGAAACAATCAAGGGAATCAGCTTTTCATTCTCAAGCCTGCTCAGGGCAAATAATTTCCTACTATAAACAACAGTTTGTTTGGTTTTATTTAAGTAGAAGTAGAGGTGTTTGGCGGGCTGCTTGCCTGCCGAACACCCTGCACAAGGCACTTTGCCTTGTGAGCCCTGATTGGCTGAGTTTTT